TCCAGGACTGTAGTGGTAGGACAAGGAGTGGTGGGTTCAGGCTTGAACAGGGGAAGTTCAGGTTGGTTATAAGAAGTTCTTTACTGTGAGGGTGCTGAGGCGCTGGCACAGGGTGCCCAGAGAAGCTGTGGCTGCCCCATCCCTGGCAGTGTTCAAGGCCAGGTTGGACACAGGGGCTTGGAGCAAGCTGCTCTAGTGGAAGGTGTCCCTGCCCATGGCAGGGGGTTGGAACTGGATGAGCTTTAAGGTCCCTTCCAACCCAAACCATTCTGTGATTCTATGATCCCAAGTTCAGCAGGTGCTAAATTCAGTGTAGCAGAGGAACAGGCTGCAAACCTCTATGGCCAGCACTGGGAATGGCTGCACGCAGCTAGTAGATCGGGTGCCACTCTCCTGGGCCAGTCCCATTTTAACCTTTAAATACTGTGGGAGGAGAAAAAGCTTCTGATAACTCCAAAGTGATGATGAGCAGCAGCGTTAAGAGAAGAATAGTTCTGCGGCAGCTATTGCTGCTTCTCAATGCACTGGGCTGGGAATTACTGAGTAACCCCATGCTAATCCCCCCTTTGGGAAGGCTTGTCCCTGGCAAATGCACTCTCTGTGCAGCAAAACCACAGCTCCTTTGCCCTCATCTCTATGGGTAATGCTTCAGTAGCATCAGCCTCACTGTGCAGCAGACAGGCTGGTGACATCCATTTGAAAGGGCTCTGGCAGGTTTGCTTTGTTGTTTCTCCTTGTGCTTTAGTGCAGACTGTGATGGGTAAGAGGGTGCCCCCAAACTGTCAGTGAGGTAAATGCTTCCCACTCCTTCCCCCAAAATCTGCTTTCTCTTTTATGTACAGTTTTTGATCTCTATGTCTTGTTAGGAATGAGCTTGTTGCAGTGATGGTATTAGGTCAGCTAAGTAGGTGTTCCTCCTTACTGAGGCAGTTACTTGAAGTATTGAGTGGCAAAAAGGCTGAATCCAAATTCACTTCTTAGTTTTGTTTCAGAGATGGAGCCAATATCTGGGAGGAACCTGATTCCCAGATTCTATTCCCTAACCTCCTTACAGTGGCAGAAAGCCTTTCCAACACTTTAATTGCCACCTTGCTGAAAAGGCCAATAGATTTCCTGTGCTTGGCCATGGTAGGACTCCATAATCGACTTCTCCCCTTCTCATCAAACACCCATCCTTAGTGACACCATCCTGAGGACCTTCTGTTGACTCATCCCTGTCCTTTGTACCCCTGACATGAGCTGCAAGCAAAGGGGAAACAACACAGACACACTGTTGGAACAGTTCAAAATCATTTACTTGCGGTGATTTACATGTTGTGCTCTAACACGGGACGCAACAGCTGAGCCTCATGCTCTGGTTTGTGCTTTGGACTGTGTGAACGATATAGAGTCTTGACAAACAATATGTGGCTCTGTACAATAAGCACACTCGGACACCAAAGGACCAAGTAAGCAGAAAAGCCTTCTCATGCTGGAAGGCTACAAAACACTATTCCACTTTGCTACTGTTCTTGTGCAGTTTGATTATTACCGATAGAACAAACAATATAAGGTGTCAAGTATTGGTATTTACTCGTCATGCTTCTCTTTCAACAAAGGAATCAAATACACTAGAGACTTAGTGAAAACCAGAAACACATAAAAAATGCTGCCAAAGCTCTGCCCTTCAATTCAATCCAACTTCAAACTGACCTTCAAAAGAGTGCAGGGAGCGTGGTCCAAGCCACATTAGCTCCCAACTCTTCCTAAACATCACCATGCCCAACTCATCTTAGACATGAGGAAAACGTGGGAAATCCTCGGGCTGTATTTCTAGAGCCCAAATTGCAACCTCCTCCATTCTGGAAGAAAACCAGGCCGGGTGTCTTTGGGCACCACTGCCAGATAATACTGACAGCAGATGCTAGCAAAATGCAAAGTACTTTTGCTCAAGGTGTTGAAAGCACAGTGGTGCCTGGGAGAATAGTTAAGCCTGAATCTTTTCCCAGCTCAGTTAAAGGGAATTTTCCATTGATTTTGGTGTATTCCCTCTTTGCAAAGCAAACATGGTTCCTATCACCATGCGAGGATATTTGGGACATGAAGTGAGGGGAAAACTGTGCACTGAAATAGTGTTACCCTCACAGGAGACCAGCTGCAACTGCTCCCCCTTACAGCTGGGGAAGGGGTGAGGGTAGTAATGAGTCTAAATCATCCCAGAGATGTCTAAAGCATCCCAGAGATGTTTTAATGACTATCAATGATTGTGCTATTAAATCTTGTCTACTGCAGCACAAATTGCCTAAAATCAGACTAAATCACTTCTCTAGGAAGATCTAGCTCTGAGGGCAGGTCAAGGCAAAGCAACATATGGTTATAATCTATATTTTAACCAGGTAACTAGCCTCAACTATCTCCTCTGGCCTCTCAGTCCTGTCCAGAGGCCTCAGCATGAGACCACCTCTCCCAGGGCATGCTGGATGCAATATGGGAGCTGCATTTCTCATTCTGTTTTACAGTAGTTGTGTTGTTTGGGTTTTGTCACTGGACAAGGGACTGTGAATCCCTGTCCTTAAATTCATAACTCTCTGTCCCCTGGTGAAAGGACTGTTCATTCTGACCAGGTAGATTTCCCCCCACCCTCTGTTTTCGTTTCCTTCTTCCCTGCAGTCTCTTGGCTTACAGCTTCTTCATGTTAATGGGTTTTTGCTATAACCCATTAACAGGAAGAAGAATAATGCGAAGAACAACATGAAGAATAATCAGTGCAACCACCAAATAGCCACCGGGGATTCTAATGCGTATTTTTGGTCACACAGCTAAAGAACATTAATTGCCTGTGGGTTTGTTTTTTTTTTTTTGCTGCTTCTCTTATGATGCAGTTTATAAGCAGCATCCTTTGATTTAAGACATTCGTGATGTTCCTGTATTTAGGAGCTGAAAACCAAAGTGTTGCCTGGCTCAGTTCCCTGTCCCTTCTGCACTTGAGTGATGCTTCACCAGCTTGTGTTGCTGAAGCTGCTGGATAGGATGGCATGATGCATTTCCAAGCACGTTGCATTTGTATTCATGACGTTGGCATCCACCACAACAGCTCCCTGCAGTTTGTCTGCTTGGACCAGTTTAGCATCTCCAGCCCTTGGGGTGCTGAGGCTTAGGGGCATACGGCATTGCTAAACAGGGATGAGGCAGGGCCATGGCAGGCAATGGAATGCGGTGACAAACACCTCCTATTAACAGAGTTCAAAAGGGCCTGATCTGAGGGTCCCTGCCCTTCCAGTACCACACGTACGCAGCATTCCTCCTGTCCAGGAAAACCAGCGCCTTTCCCTGCTCCCACTTCCAGCCCCAGCACATCAAATGCTGCCTCATTAAACAAGCACCCATCAGTCTTTGTTCAGGTTGAGCTGAATGTGAGAAACATTCCTTCCAGGATAAAATGCCAGACAGCAGAAATGATCCATCTGGGAAAGATGCATGCACTTTCCCTCTTCCTTTTTTCCTATTTAAATCCCATTGCAGCAAAGTGAGGGAACAACACCATTTGTTAACACTGATGGCACCACTTTGCTCCTAAGACAGATTTGTAGTTAAGCAGTGTGTAGACACGTAAAAGGGACATTATGAGATTATGTGAGGGGCTGTGCCTTTAGAATGCCATAGGATTGCTGTCTAATTACAGGGTGTGCCAAAATCTCCAGGGGCAGATAATGCCGTTTACCATCAGTCACCAAGATGTTATAAAAGGTTCATTAAAATAAGCAGGAGGCAGAACTAAAGAAATCTCTTGGCAGCAAGGCAAGTATTTTGCCCTTTAGGCTTTCCGGTGCCAACCAAATAGGTTCATACTGGGGGATTATCCTTATCATTATCCTAAATAGAAGGGAGAATCATAGGGCTGCCAGGAGCCTCTTTGTAGAGTAGGCCAACATTACAATGACTTTTGCACTTCAAGGGAAATAACAATTCCAAATCTGTATCAACAGGCACCTATGAACAGAGCAACTGTTAAGAATTCACTATCAACCTGAAACCCTGTGTCTACTTTGTTTGCAGCATCCTATAGCTTTCAGTTAACAAACAAAGCCCCACAGAGCAAAACAAAAAGTCAGTTGTTTCTTGTTTAAATCCCCTCCAGCCAGTGGAGCAATATCAGAGATTGAAACATTAGCTCTAAGGTCCATTGGCATACTTAGCTTTTCTGTTTGGTTGGTTGATCAAAGCTGTTTCTATCACTCTCTATAAAATGACCTCCAGCTTTAAAGGGAAGAGCAGTTTTACCTATAAAGGGTAACAGACTTTTCAGTGTGCATCAACCTTGTCAGTCTCTTCACAGAACCACAGCATCACTGAGGATGGAAAACACCTCTGGAGATCATCTTGTCCAAACCCAGCAGGGTAAACTAGATCTGGTTGTTCAGTGTTGTATCCCATCAAGTTTTGTTTCCGAGGATGGAAACTCACAACAACCTCTCTTGACAACTTGTTCCAGTGTTTTACCATCCTCAGAATAATTTTTCTTTGTTTTTATCATGTGTTCAAATGGAATTTCCTTTATTGCAATTTGTGCCCTTGCCTCTTGTCCTGTTACTGGACAGCACTGAAGAGTCTTCCCCTAGATCACGTATTTATACATATTGCTAAGTTCCCCCCTGATGTTTCTCTTGACCAGGCTGAATAGACACAGCTCTCTCAGGCTCTCCTTTTGCAGAAGATGCTCCAGTTCCTTAATCATCTTCATGGCCATTTGCTGCACTCTTTCCAGTAAGTCCATATCTTTCTTGCACTGGGGAGCTCTGAAATAGACACAGCACTCCAGATGTGCCCTCACCAGAGCTGAGTAGAGAGGATCACCCCTTTGGCCTGCTCACAATGCTTTTCCTATTACAGACCAAGACACTATTGACCTTCTTCGCTGCAAGAGCACATTGCTGGGTCATGTTCAACAGGATGCTGCTTTCCAGATGGTCAGCCCCAAACCCGCACTGGTGCATGGGGTTGTTCTTCTGCAGGTGCTTAACACTTCTTGTTGAACTTCAGGAAGACCCTGTCAACCCATTTCTCCAGCCTCTCCACATCCCTCTGAATGGCAGCACAACTGCCTGGTGTATCAGCCACTACTGTCAGTGTTGCATCATCTGCAAACTTGCTGAGGGCATGCTCTGCCCTATTGTCCAGGTCATTTAAGAAGATGCTAAGCAGTGCCATCCCCACTACCAGCTCCAGTCACGACTCAGTGTCTGGCTTCCAGCTGAGATTCATTGCCCTGTTTGTAACTGTGCTGTCACTTCAGTCAGTTTTCAAACACTGGTTTTGGTGTTTGCCAACAGGATGGCAGCATCTGCTAGACTTGTCTGACTAAGCCATCAAAATGGGATGGATATTAGATAAAACCTAGCTTATATTCCTAATTGAACAGAGGATCAAGCTGACCCTGCAAATATGAAGTTCTCTGAGTTTTTCAGTGCTACAAACTACATGGTTCTGTTTTCAGACTGTTGAGTGCCTTGTCCCAGTTGAAGTCCTTTAAAGCTGTTGTCTACTCCTTTAAATGAAGTGATAGGACAAGCAGTGTGCTTATGGGGTCACAACATCATCACTGCCAACGCCAGGCTTTCAGCCCATTGAGACACAAAAGGACAGTAAACAGTAACATTTGATCTACATCAAGTCTTGAAAGTGCACACACAAAAAAAACAAGCCCTGGGGAGTCTGTCTGGTCAGTGAATTCCTTTTGTCTGGAAGTGATGAAATACATGGCAGTTCTTAAGGGTTGGTTTCGAGTAAGGCTGGTATGAGGATTCGGGTGCTGTAGTTAACTGTCAAACCAAAACCATCAATCAGTTGCTAAGGTATGAAATGATCTCATTTCTCTTGCCCAGTCTTAAATGTTGCCTGGAATAAAAGTATTTGAAACTTCCTAGCTCAGAAAAAAACCCAAACAGAAAATATGGCAGTCAGCAGAAAGATTTGGTCCAGGTTTTTGGAGGTAACTTCTTGTCCGTGTATAGGGTCTTCCTGGATGACAGTGTGGAAAGATAGAAGATGTAGGTATTGTGCTGAAGGATCCTGAAACATTCACATTTTCAGGGGTTTTCATGAATCCTAAATATCAAACACTCCAGGTAACAAAAGTACATGAAGGTATTTGACTTCTCGTTTGGCAGTGTTTGCTTCAAAGGCTACATAGGATGATAGTGTTGACTGTCTCACCCTCTTCTTCCTCTGTTTTCTCTCTTGATTCTAGATACTCATTTATTACACATCGGCTTCACTCTTTTTCATACTGATACTTTATGTCTGCAGTGAAAGTCACTTCTGTGATCTGCATTTCTCACAGTCTTATAAAGTATTATGGAAAACAATGACTGGTAAAACATCTGCCACATATTTATGATTATGGAGCCAGCACTCATCAAAGACTTGACTGACAGAGCCAGATGCCAAGGAGGATCTCACCTTTCCATGATACCTTTGCTCCTCAGTAGAAACAAGGACCTCACACAGATGACAGTGTGAATTAATTCAAATCATCCAGGCAGCCAAACCCCTTGTTTGAGAGAACCACTTGAGCAGATGAGACATTGTCCTTTAAATACATTTTCCAGGAAGTTTCCCAGGTTAGGATGAGGCAGGAAAATCATATAAGGGGGTATAAGAAGGATGCTGTGCTGGTCAGCTTTGTGGAGGGGAAGGTGGAAGGTGAAATGCAGCTTATTCACCCAGGCTCAGAGGCAGGAACCACAAGGAGCCTACATGTGGAGCTGGTGCCACATGGCGATCTGTCTCCTGGGGTTCCTCAGCATTTCTTCCCAGTGGCTCCTCTCCGTGCCCGTGACATGTAAGCCCAGGCTGCACTTGCCAAGCACGTGGCTCTGCCCAGCACCAACCTGGCTCAGCATTTCCAGCTCCACGCTGGAGGCACGCAGGAGCTCTTGAGGCACCTCGAACATGATCATCTCGTTCCACACAGGGTTGATCTTGTGCTTTGCACGTTTGGTCTGCTTCTTCTTCAGCTTCAAGGACTGATGCCTCAGTGTCACCTTGACAGAAACATCTGTACAGGGAGTGGAAAAAGGAACCACGTCAATGAGCATGTGACAAAATGAATGCAAGAGAATTCTAACTGGTGACTGAGAGAGAACATGAGAAACATTGATCTTGGTTTTGGTTTTCACATTTTAGCAATTATTCAAATCTATTTGGCTTTCTAAGACAAACATTTACTTTTTTTTCTGCCAAACAACCACACTTCCCACATTCCTTCTAGATTTACATAACAGCAGAAACAGCAGTCTCTGTTTTCTTGCTACTCTACTCACCATTGCCAAGTAGATCTTTCAGCTGCTTGGAATGGAGGTTTTTAGCCTTGATGATCACCACCAGCAGGCGGTTCGCTGCTGGCAGGTAGCTGATGGAGAGCAGGACCTCCCCATGGCCCGTAGATGGCTCCTGGAAACGGAGATGCAGGAAGTGTTCATTTTATATACAATCATGGCCATAACATGGAATACTAGAGTACTATTTAGGAATCATAGAATCATAACATAGTTAGGTTTGGAAGGGACCTTAAGATCATCCAGTTCCAACCCCCTGCCATGCGCAGGGACACCATGGCACCCAAGGCTCTGCCCAACCTGGCCTTAAACACTGCCAGGGATGGAGCATTCACAACTTCCCTGGGCAACCCATTCCAGTGCCTCACCACCCTCACAATAAAGAACTTCTTCCTTATATCCAATCTAAACTTCCCCTGTTTAAGTTTGAACCCGTTCCCCCTTGTCCTATCACTACAGTCCCTAATGAAGAGTCCCTTCCCAGCATCCCTATAGGCCCCCTTCAGATACTGGAAGGCTGCTATGACGTCTCCACGCAGCCTTCTCTTCTCCAGCCTGAACAGCCCCAACTTTCTCTCTGCTAAATAATATGAGGTGATGAACTGGCCAAGTTTCCTCCCTGTCTTTGTACAGGGAATATCTTTCCAGTTACATTGGATGAGAATAAACTTGACAAAGATGTCTGTCCTCCACACTTAAGTTATTGCTTTCTTTTGAGTTATGCTTTCTTTTGTCATTGGAAAGTAACTGCTTCCTTATGTCTACTTTTAGTGGAATACTTAGTTAGAAGAAGAGGATTTGGGGCTGAACTACATGCAAGTAGTCAGATACTCATTTTTTGAGGTTATCTAGCTGCTCTTTATTTACGTCCCCTACTTCCGTTACTGCTTTTCATCATCCACTCTCCATTTCAGCTGCTTCTGTGTATTTATATTAGATACTAGGAAAATATCCTTACTATGGGGGTGGTTAGACATGAGAAGCTTGCTGTCCAGAGAAGCTGTGCTGCCCCATCCCTGGCAGTGTTCAAGGCCAGGTTGGACACAGGGGCTTGGAGCAACCTGCTCTAGTGGAAGGTGTCCCTGCCCATGGCAGGGATTTGGAACTGAATGAGATTTAAGGTCCTTTCTAATCCAAACCATTCTATGATTCTATGATTCTTTTTCTCAGAAGGCCCTGACCTCACATGGTCCATGGTCTACACTGCTTAGCAGGAGTGTAGGTCTCCCTAGGAAAGAGTAGGAAATACCCGGGGCTGTGCCACAGCCAGACCCTGGAGCTGGAGCTGAATCTTCTCTGACACCCTCACTTGCTATAGTAAAAAGCCCACCCATCCTGAAATCCTCCATGAGCTCCACACAGTGATTTATTTACTCTTCCTTCCCAACAGTCTTCCCTCCAGCTTGAGGGCATCTCTCCCTGCTGCCTTGCAGCATTTCCTCCAGGACAAAGGCTTGGAACCATCAGTCCTCGATTCAGCAGGGCACACTTTTGGTTTTCTTACCTTTTCTTCTCTTTTATTCCTTTCTTCCCATTAGTGATTGGCCTCTTAGCCTCCTGACCTTTCCTTCCCCCTTGCCTTGGGCAAACAGCCCCCGGAGGGGGAAGCAGAGGGACCACATCACCCATCACTCTTCCCTGGGAGAACAGTGCCATTTCCTCCCCGGGAGCTGGCTGGGAAGCAAAGGAAGCCAGGAAAGCCCATGCTGGTACATGCAGAGCTGCCAGCCTGTGGCAAGGAGCAAAAGGGGAGCAGTTAATTCTGTCAGTGAATAGGATCTTGTGAAAGAAATCTGCTTTAGTGTGAGGTTAATGACCCAGAAGAGTCCCAGAAAGCCGATGTCAATTCAATAGACTCCCTTTGGACTCCTTAGCATGATCTACGCGCTTTAGGATGGGCAGCCCTTCTCCAGGCCATTTCTGTACTCTGCGCTATGCTTCTAAGTGAGCCATAAATATTTCAGATTGAGTTTTCACCCGGTTACTCCCAACAGGCAGGGGCAGGCCCCTGTGTGCTCCCCAGGAGCTGATTGACTCTCCAGCAAACACGGTTGTCATCGCTGTCGGGTTTGGATGACTGGTTTGACATGCACAAATCAGGGGGGAGGCCATTAGCAAGGAAGCCTGAAATCCAATCCTAAATCAGCCCCAGTAAATCTCCTTCTCAAGCGCTCAGGTAGAAACAAAGGGCTCGTGTGCATTTCACTCGCAGAAATCCTGCCTTACATCTAAGTAGATGCTAAAAAACCCCACAACGCAGAACCAGAACAGAGGCAGATTCAAATAGATGTGTATTCACTATGAAAGAATGGGTGTCTGTACATGGGTGGACAAATACAAATACCACTTCAGTACAAAACCATAGTTAAACCAGGTCATAAGCTGCTTTTGTTTATTTACTCCCTCTACATCTCACCAGGTCTCACTATAGCTCTTGGCTAGAATATGGTTCCTGTAGCTCCAGGCACACATAGATAAGGTGGAGATTGGAGATAGGGGTTGGCAGGGCTCTGTAAACGTGCACACACACTCGTGCACGTACACACAAACACACATTGTACACACATACCACACCTTGTGCTTATGGCTTGCAAGCTCCTAATATTCTTGATCCAGTTTTTGACCAGTCTGTATCCACAGTAACACAAACCCTACAGTGGTTGGTGTCTGCTGGAGTTTTGTGTGAAGAGGCCAAGACAAAGGTATTTTTCCTTCCCACTCCTTCTGGGATTTATTTTCTGTATTTTTCTTTTTCCTATTAAATCCATAACCTGCCTTTTGTGCTACAATTCACACAACCACCAGAGCCTTTCAGTCTTCCTTTCTGCACAATAGGACAAAAAGCATCAGGGAGTTATCAATGAATTAGGTGTGCATCACAAAAGGGAAGGTGTTATGCGAGGAGCCGCTATCATCACTGTCATTAGCAAGGCAGCGGGAGGGAAGGAAGACAAGATAAGGATATCAGCCTGCAGGATCTGTGTTTGCATTGCTCACAGAACTCACTGAATTCCTGAATACGAATTGCTGTACCTGGTTAGCTGCAAGCTCCCCTCTGAGCTCCTTCCCTTGTGTGTGGGAGAATCACTGGGAAGGCAGGGATGAGATTCCTGCCTCTCATGGCATCTCAAGGAAATGTCAGACTTTGTTTAAAGCTCAGAAACTTTGTTCCTGGATGGATGCTGTCAAAAATAGCTCCTCTTTTTTATCAGCTCCTCCTCACTCCCTCCCGCTCTGGTCCTCAATGAATGATTCAGGATCTGTATATAAGCTCTCTGTGCAATGGTTGGCTCTCTCAGGTCCCAGATGACGCAAATTCAGCTTTCACTGCACATCCTCAGCTCAAACTGGGGCACTGCTCAGCAATGCTGTGAGTGTTAACCTTGTGCTGTCAGCCTGGAGAAGAAATGAATGCTGCCCTGTTTCTGTGCAGAGTTGTGGAGCTGGACCAAGGCAGAATAGCCTGACCCAGCGTGTCAGGACTGCATCGGGTACCCTTGAGTGACAACTGACCATTGCTGTGCACAGGCTGCTCCCTGGGTATTGCTTACAAAGCAGAGACTGCAGTACATGAGGGGGAGGCTCCATCTATCTCAGGTTAGGGATTTAAATCATTGGAATAATTTCTTTCGGACACCTCATTTTGCAGCAGCGGATTGGGAACTGAGTTCAATTTACAGATGTTAGGCTGCTCATTATTAATATGCAGCTATTTAGCCTGGTTCTTGAAGCTTATTAAACCTCCCATTTGTTTCTTCTGCCTCTCTCTCTGCCAGAGGATTTTTAAAGGCCAGCACTATTAGCATTCAAGTGGTGATCAGGTAAATGAGCATTATAGGAAATCAGACATTCTAACTCTGTACTCGGTGCCTGTGGCCATCCCAGCGGGGAGCCCTCACCCCCGATGGTGAGAGGCAATCATTTATTTCGGCATGAGTAGCGACAAGGATGCTGTTGTTTTGCATTGCTCTCCCCATATACCAGAGTACAAGAGGTACCCACTTGTAGCAATGTACTAGTAGCAACAATAGCAGAATCCTGCTGCCATGTTGTTAAGTGTATTGCTGCTGCTAAAAGAAGAACCTGGCTCATGGCAAGGAAAAGGCTCCTGAGGAGACGTGCAAGAAGTTAGTGCATGTGAAGCATCCCCTGTACCTACTTCAAGTACTGTTGGAATCTTAGAATCATAGAATAGAATCATAGAATAGTTAGGGTTGGAAAGGACCTTAAGATCATCGAGTTCCAACCCCCCTGCCATGGGCAGGGACACCTCGCTCTAAAATCTTCTCTCCCTTTTCCCTGCCTGTGCAGCTGGAAGGTATGGACAAGGAAGGAAAAGGAGGGTTTAATGTTTAAGACCAACACAATGCAATGAGTGATGTTTTGACATCTACGAGAACATATAGCACTGGATTGATTCCAGAAGGATAAGTTGTCTTCAGGCCAGCATTTTGGTCCCAACGATGTACTTCATTCCTAGCTTAAGGCTCCCTGGGGTGTCCCTATATGCCTTACCCACATCCAGCTCTGCAGAGTCCCTCCGTCCTGCTCTGTAAGCACTCATTCTGGTGTTCCAGCTCTTGCTACTATGGTCCTGCATCACTAAATCACAGAAGCCCACATAACTTCTAGACACAGGCTTTGAATTAGAGATACCAATGTCAAGGGCCATGTAATTGAAGGAGGAGGTGAGGGAGTTCTGACACAACTGCCAGAAGCTGTAGATGGAAGGGCTGGTTGATGGGCCTTTGGTTGCTTTCTGGAATGGTTTTAACTAGAGACCAACACAGAGCAGTGCAGAGTGATCTCTGCAGTCACACATCACCCCTCTAAACCTTGCTCCAAACAAATACAGCCACCCACTGACATGGAAGAGGGCTTCTCTTGCCCAAACAGTTAATCATTAGAGTCCCTGGGTCCTTACCTTCTCTGGGATCTTTAGCCTTTCCCATTGGGCTGTCCCAAAGGACTCCTCCATGCTAGCAAGGCTCAGTTTGAGTTCCCCCACAATGCTGTGTCTGGAGAACTTGTCGCAGTTTCTCAGGGTGAGAGTCAATGTCCCCTCCGACATCTCCTCCTCTGTTAATGGGAATCGCAGGACCTCCTCCCAGAGGGTGTGAAGCACCTTCTTCTTCAGCTCTGTTTGGGCTTCAGCAGTGCCAGACTTGCTCACCAGCGTGCCCAGTATGTAGCAGTGGCAGCCAGCATCTTGGTCTCCACTCATTCTGCCATGCATAGCTGAGAGAGAATGATGAATTTTAAGGACCTCTCACAACAGACAGCCCTGAAATATCTGTGACTAAACTGCTCACTTTATGAGAGCCATAAAATAAAACAGCTTCATAGACATTGACCCTTGTTCTCTTGTACAGGGCAGACTAAGCCGTGAGCCCATGCTGTGGTGTTTTGCTCATGCAGCACAATGTCCTTGTCCTTCTGCTGCTACAAAAGGATGCTGTTAGCATCTGGGAGGATAACAGCTAAGTTCAAGGAAACATGCTCTGTTGAAAGATGCAGAGCAGCAATGAGCTGAGCCTCAGCAAGGCACAGGGACTGGCAGCTCTTACCTACTTTTACACAAAGAAAGCCTCTTACGAAGGCTTCAAATGCATTATGGTCAGTCACAGACATCAGAGACAAGAGACACCTCCCTCGTGGCACACATCCAACCCTGCAGGCCAGTGGGGGATACATCTAAGGGTTGTTATAGTTTGCTTGTACAACCTCTGGTAAATGAATCCTTCAGAAACCATTCCACAGCCCCAGAGATCTTTGTCAAGAGACGTTTATCTCTAGTTTTATACCCATTTTATGCTGAAAAGCCTGGAGTGAGAATGGACAGCTCCCCATGAGCGCCCACGTCCCATAGTCTGTGGGGGTCTACTGGTTTCTTGGGAAGCAGAACTGGATCCTGCTGGGTGACAAGGGGCACTAAGGGATGAAGAGGAAGAGGAGATGCAAGTTCTCCTGCTCCACACATGCAGGAGAACCATGGTGGCAGTCAGTAGTTGTGATGTCCTCCCTGGAAGGGAGCTGAGGGCTTGCTGCTGGCAGCCAACCCACAGCAGTGGCTGCTGTTTAGCACCCTTTCGATTCTCGGCTCAGAGGGTGTGATTTGATGAGGTTTCCACAGAGATCTGCACAGTGCATGAATTATTCACTCAGCTTATTTTGCTTTCCCAGAGGAACTGATAATGCTCCAACCCTGAGCAGTGAAGCTGTTACAGTTGTCAGTTCCCACTTCAGAGAGTGACACAGAGCCTGGCTGCCTGGCCAGGCGCAGCAGAGGGACCTTCCTCAGTGGACTACAAGATAAGTTTGGTATCTCCAGCTCAGACCTTGACTGGAGGAAGAGGCAGTAAGGAGTGGGTCAACTGAAGAATGCAAGTTATAGAGAGGAAGGAGATTGCAACCCCGTTCCCATTGCCCCAAAAGAAAAAAATAGAAGAGGTTGCTTTGTACCCTGAGAAAGGAGAGGCCCATCTTGGTGCCTGACTTCTGCTTCTGAGCTGTGCAAACAATTGTTCTCCATCCCTGGAGATATTCAACTCCAGGCTGGATGTAGTTCTGGGCAACCTGATCTAGTTGAAGATGTCCCTGCTCATTGCAACAGGGTTGGACTGGATGACCTTTGAAGGTCTCTTCCAACCCAAGCTATTCTATGTTTCCATGCTCACTGCCATCCGCAGGTATTTCTATTCTGCAACAACAGAACCAGTGAGATAGCCAGTGGTCCTGGGGACACTTACTGGTTTTAAGGTAGGAGGGGAACTCTCTATAAAATCAATGGTACAAGGTGTCTTGTACCCTCCAGCTGGAGAATGACCGGTGGAAGACCTCTGCCCCTTACCTTCCAGAAGGGCCACACGCAGCTCAGCTCTTTCTTGATCATACACCAGGGAGTAGCGCAGCTCGGGGGCCTGGTTACAGCCGGCTGCCCTCTCGGGGTTCAAGTGCTCCGTGACACACACGTCCTTTACAACACCTGCAACTGAAATAACCCCTTTAGCAAGCAGGTCTTTACCTTCCAAGGAGCACAAATCCACCCTGTCTTGACTTGCCTTTTCTAAGTGTCTTACTATCCCTGATCCTTGTGTGCAGGAATGTCATTTCTGTTCCTTCTTCCTCCATCATACCTACTTTTTGCACTGTTTTCTCACCCTTTCAGCTCACTTGGACAAGCCTTCTGCTCTCCACCACTTTGTGCTCTAAGATGGTTGGTTCACACACTTGCTCTTTTACCTTGTGCCTAAGCCAAGGTGTCAAAACTACACCCATTACTTGTTATATTGGTTTATATTGGTTTTAACTTGCACTGGGGAATTGAATATTGTGTTCCTTGGAATGAGAACATGAACCTGCTTTTTAGTTGCCGTGCTTTAGTTCAGATCTCTCTAAATCTTTTTATTTTTCACTTTAACAATATAGCCTTTGTCATGTTGAAGACATCTATTCCCATAAGTCTCGACCAGGTGGAAGTTAATGAGCTTGGGAAGCTGAGGCCATTGCTCCGTGTATGATTCTGAAGTCGAGTACATATTTTATATTGAAACGAATCAAATGGCAAGACTAAAAGGGAAGCCGCAGCTTTTTTGTCATCAAAAGCTGTTATCTGCAAGGTCAGTTCTGATTCACACAGAAAATAATAGTGGGACTAGCACATTTCCTCCTAAAAATCTCAGCCAGCCCCAGCCCAGATCAGCTCAATGTGACACCAAAATAAGAACGCAACAATTCTTGCTTTATTTCAGCAAACCCTTGAGCTACGAAATCAGGCGCAGCAGGAAGCAAACTTGCTTATGTCATTAGCAGTGCAGAGAGGCTCTTACACCAACACACTTACATAAAGCTTTAGCCCACATGCACCCATCCTCCTTCAGCCTCTCCACCCTATAATCTTCTCCCTGACACCTAAGGATGTGGCTGAGACAGCCTCTCCCTCCAATGCAGCTGCTTCCCATGGTTCGTACTTTTCCATACTCACAAGTGTCAGGGTGGAGGGGAGAATGTAGGAATCATCCTCCCAGAAGGACAGAAATATAACCTCAAACAATTCCAAACCCCTAAACTCTTTTATAAAGCCATGGCAGATGGCACCGCGTCTCTGGCAAATCATCAGGAAGATTGTATTAATGCGGTAACCATAAGAGTCAGCTATTCTGTTAAAAGACAGTTGTGGATGTAAAGATCAGTATGGAAGCAACCCAGACATGCTGCCAGAAGTATATAATTAACACTGCATTTTCTCTAAGGCTCCAGGAATCTTATGTTCAAGGCTTTGGCATGTTACCCTTTGGAATGGCTGGAAACAGGAATTCTCTTTGGCAAAAGAGTCTGAGGTGTCAGCCTTTGGTTTCAGTGCACATTAAAGCCAAGGGTATCTCACCAAACCAGTGGGGAAAAAAAACAGCAGAAAAAATAAAGTAGAAGCTTAAAACCCTTCTGCCAATGTCCTTGATAGGGACAGTTGGCATTTATCCTGGAGGAGCTACTCTGCCTAGTTTTGGCCAGATACCTCACCCATATTCTGGCAAATGGTCTCAGTAAAAGTACACTAAAACATGCGTTTGTACAAAATGTCTGCTTCCAGTGAACAAAAGATGTTTAAGTAAAACCAATTTAGAATCAGACACAACTACAGCTTTGTTAACAGATTGTCATGATCTACATGACTAGTACTAAACACATGCATTGAAGACAGAAATCACTATGTTCATTATAAGAAAGCAAAAAACACCCATGTCTTCATTTTCCCATTTATTTCTCTAACTACAATCACATTATGCTCAGAAGCGTTATGGATCTACACTCAGAAAAGCAACTGTTAGCATGAAGACCAAATGCTCCTACCGTTTTGAGGGAGAACAAACAGCTCTTCATTGACTTGGATCTTCATCCTGTTCTCATCCAAACCAGTGTGTTTTCCAGTAGCTGGTTCTTCTGTTGTCTTCAGGGAGTACTGCGTGTAGTTAACAATTTCAGGTGAAGTTACTATGGGCTTGGGGCCATAAATGTTGGGAAACTTCAGGAGTGCTCTAGGCTGGACTGGCTCTGCCGTTTTCTTAACGTTGAACTGAAAATTAAAACCTTGTTTATTACTTTGTGCTGATTACACTAATTCTTCTGATTCCCTGAGTGCTAAACAAGCTAAGAAAAAGGAAGAAAAGGCCATGCCTCTGGTCATTCTTACCATCATTGTCTCCTTCTACACAAACCATTGTCTGTATGCCCAGAGATTTTCTTGACGAAGCCAGTACACTTCTACCTGGTGTATGTCTTGCCAGTATTACCCCTCTACAGATGTTTGGTTGCAATAGGAAAAAGGTATGTTCTTAATGTTTGATTATTCCTCTGTTCCTGTACCAGTAAATCCTTCTCTCCTAAGTCTGTGTTTTCTCTTAGAAGAGAAACCAGCCATGAAGTTAATTTTGCTATATGGATGTATGGTATTTGTTTCCGATTCAGCCTCTTGGGACTATCTCTTGGCTCTGTAGACCAGAGCTCTGCCTGACCCAGAGGCACACATTTCCCCTTTATGACTCCATTTGGATTCCACTTTGTTCCTAACATTTCAATTCCCTGCTGAATTGTGAACATGGAATGAGAGGAAGAAACTGACAGGCAGTGGCATGCCCAGGCAGCCCAAGCAAAATCTGTCACAAAGGCATGGCTGTTCTCCCAAAACAATGAAAAATACATTAGTGGAATATAGCAGTTCCTCTTTCATTATGTCCCAAGAAAGGATCCTGTCTGCTGACTACTGAAATCATTCCTTATTCGTTTATATTTGGATTCATCTCTGTGAAAGAACAAAAGCAAATGACCCTTGCACCAGATTTTAATAATGTTTCCAAAACACAAAAGACAAAAAGCAGAAGTAAACCTGCCATTTTGCTGGATTATTGTGCAGTGGGATCGCCTCCAACCCTGCCGCCTGCCAACCCATTCTGTGTTAAATTTAGATTGAGGGTGAGCCAGAAAATGTTTGCAATTGTAATTAAAGTTTTTCATTAATGTCATTGTTTCCTATTAATAATGAATATAAATGATGCCCTCAAGCACTTGCCTGTGACGGGATGCTGTGGTCCCAGTTCACATGTCCTGAGGGAGCACACCTATCCCTCAAGAAACAGAGCTGAAGAAAGGGAGCTGTCTTGGATTTTAGCTCTTTAGTCATGCTCTGCTTATGGAGCTCATAGCACCATGGTTACATGCACTTGGCAGTGGTAAAGAGCTATTTAGGTCACTGACTCCATGTTCTCAAGGTGCATCAGTGTTTAAGAAGTCCGCTGTGTAACACAGCGTTTTGTCTTGTTTAATTTGAAGGGCTCTGAAAGAGAAGTGGGATGAGAGTGAAAGACGTCACTGTGTGCAGTCCCCACCTAGCATTCAGCTGAGTTTAGATGTTGTGTAAATCACATGGTGCAGGTCTGTGAGTGAGATCCCTCTTTTAGACATGTGAGCCACATCAGTCATAAAATACTTAGGCAACTGGAAGTTACTCATCCAAACCTTAAATGCAGTTCTCCATTCTTCTGCAATTAAAGCAGACCAACCAAGCAAAATAGGTTAGGAACCACTAGATGCTAGCATGAAAAAACAGGTCACTTTTGCTCTGCAAAGGCATTACTTCTAACATATAGTGCCTGCCATGGTGCTCAGCATCCACTGTTCTTTCTCTCCTGAAGCTGCTGTATAGGGCTGCTGTCCTGCCAATCACTGACGAATCACTGACCATCACACCTCAGCATTATGCCTGGCACTTTGGGATCCTTTGGGATGAAGAAACACCATACAAATGTGAGGTGTTGTCAGTACAATCTTTTCTTCCACTTGCTAAAAGCCAGACATTTAGTCAGGAAATCCATCAGCACACAGCAAGTAAGAGCTCCACTGGGTCTCAGTATTCCTCTTGTCTGTCTGCTCTGCAGAATTAGAGATGAGAGACATATGCAAGCACAGTGGGACTAACCCACCCCCTCTTCCAATTGCATCTGCCTCTGTTTATTATTTTTGCTGCCAGCTCTGTTCCCAAGTGCTGTCTGCTAATCCAGTTACATAGCAATGCCCTATGGAAGTTCCAAATCAGCAGCAGTATCTTAAAAGAAAGAGATGAGAAGAAGAGTTCAGATAGTTCTGCATAAAATGCATGAAAGCAAAGGAACCAAAAGTAGCAAGAAGGCTGCAAATGACCCTTCAGGGTCCCTGTCCAGTGTCCCTCAAGCAATGCACCAAATTATTGCCATTGCTGGATGTGTTTAGGAATCCTCAGCTGCACATTTTGCTGAGACTTTGCATATTTCCAGCAGTTTTAATGGTTCTGTAGGTATATCTTTGTGTTTGAGCTTTTCCTCCTCACATATGCAGGACATGTCCCTGGGGAGCCTCTGTCTATAGCAAATACAAGCATTGCTGTCATGGGAGACATGCCAAGTGAATAAAATGCAGTCTTGCTTCGTCTCTCTTTTGTCAACCCTGTTTATCAGAATCAGTGGCCCTGACAGGCTTCAATAATTATGTCAAGCACTGGCTAGGACATACAGTATATTAATGCAGAAGGGAAGTAGTCCCAACAGAACAATTTATAAACATAGACAGAGATGATAAAACTTCACAAGCTCAGAACTCAATCTGAGATTAACGCCATCAAGGTATAGACTGATTCTGAATCACTGACAACACAGGGGGATGCATGTTCCTGGCAAGAAAACTATTTAGCTGGAAAAAAAAATGATGTTTAAACATACTGAATATGCAAACTAAGAACATTTTGCACTTTCTGTGACAGAATGTTCATTCGGCTGCTAGAATTTGGCCAGATTTCTTTAAAAGGAAAAAGCCTAAAATCAAACCCAGCAACATTATTAGAAATAATACTTGTAATTAGAAAACCTACAGCGTTAAAAGAGTACAATCACTCAGGTAACAGTGATACATTGAGGCCAGGTTGAATAATTCGACCCCTATTGGTCAAGTACTGGATTAAGTTATGGAGAAACATGATGAGTGCAGAAAAGTTGTGAGGACCATAAGCTGGTAGCTGCTGGGTATGAAAGCTTGGTTGAACTTTACAGTGACTTAGTGCTTATTTCAGACATGCAAGCAGGATGACACCCTGCAGGACAAACTCCAGGATGGATTAACATTTTGCCAAGATACAATCCAAAAGGTTGTATAAAAGGAAAATGACCAGTCCAAGGGTCATGGAGTTAAGGTAATGATTTAGGTGGTTTCTGAGCTAGAAGATTGCAATGACAAAAGATCTCTTGTAGAAAGAGACTGATGGTAAAGTTATCTGTGGTTAATGTTGTTCCAGACAACAGCTAGATAAAATGCTATGCTAAGTGATATGGCTGTCCGAGTTCCACATTTCTCATTCATTTTAACAGTAAACTTGGAAAATCTCAGCATTACTGTACATCTTTATATACGAGACTTGGCAAATCCCCTGTATGGGTCAGAAAAGAGAAGAAAAGGACATGACAAAACTATCAGACACAATAGCAGGTGAAATTCATCCTAGGAAAATAGAAACAGGTTCTTGGATGTATTCACTGTGCTCATGGATGAATGCTCTGAATTAGCAGCAACCCCTTGAGAAGTCCTAAGCTCAGTGCCAATGTTCATCCATGGTCAGTGGAGCAATCCTCCCTCCCCCAAGCAACCAGAAGCTCTGGTAACATGATTCTGTGTATCTGCACCAGATCTTACAGTGCAATTAGTAGATCTGGTCATCTTTTCTCTGAGCAAGCTGCAACAGAAACAGGAGGATGCCAGGGCTCTTTTCTAGTAAGAGCCTGAGAGGGGTAGCCAAAGAGAGCTGAATATGTGATTACAAACATTACAGAGTTCAATTAGGACTCCTGCTACACTCTTTAAGAACACAAAAATAACAGGCAGCTTAGTTAATTAGAAGGCAAACAAAGACCGTTACACAATGGGTCACTGGTCTTTGGAAGTGGCTAACATTTGCTTGAATGGCTAGATGAAAGTGAAAAGGATGTAGGCACGTACAAACATCAAGAGCAACAGGTAGTACTTTCAGAGACTGACCAGTGCAACAGCTCATGCTAAATACCATAATTAATAAAGGAAATCAGTCAAACATTTCCTTTTGAAGAACTTCCCATTAATAAATGTATTAGCAGGGTCCTATAATTCCCCTTGCTCTCTGCTGTACTGAGCTCAGGGGCAAATCAGGTCTTTTGGATTCTAACAAGAAACAAAGACCAAACAGGCATGCTGGATATCATCCATACTCCACATTGCTCTTATAGTAAATGAAAAAGCAGTTCACAGTGTGATGAGGTTGTCCAGTCATCGCACTACAGGTTGTCACATTTTATTATCATTACGATGCCTCATTTTAACTTCACACATAATTAATCCCCTCAGTCAGAGGGGCAGAGGGAGGAGGAGGGATGGTTTTCACAAGAAACCAGCTGTTGACAGGGAACTATCCTGCAGGACCCATAAGATACTGTGGATAGAGTTAGAGAAATAGCTGCTACAGGAGATCCCAGCAGGAGTCATCTCCTTTTTACAACGCTGCATGCACATGGTAAAGTCCAGTCTTCTCTCCTTAGAAAAGCATTTCCTTTGTGATCTAAGCAGCATTTCCAGTCCTCCTCCCCTATTTTTCCCGTTGGCAGCTCTCTCTTTGGCAGTGTGGCAGCTGTCTCCTGCTCCAGTAATTCTGTGGGTCACTGAGCCCATCTCGGCTACCCCCTCACTCCCCCCATTAACATGCTGCCACATCCTGAACACAGCAAGCAGATAAATAGGCAGCAGAAATCACATGCTGAGAAGCCGAACAGAAAAGTTGCATCCCCACCCTCTGCATTTAAAGGTAAATCAGAGACTGTATCTTACTTGCTGGACTGGCTGAAGCACACTGGGCTTAGTATTTTCCGTGTCCTCCTCTTGGTCCTTTTCTGAGAGTCCTTTCCCAGGTTGCTTGCATTTGCAGAGGCAGGTGAGACCGCAGAGGGCAAGGATGCTAGTTGCAGTCCCTAAGGTAGCCCCCAGGGCTATCACTGGGGCAGATAAAACCATTGTCCTGGGCTGCACAGGAACAGAAAGCACACAAACCCTGTGACTGCTTCTCCTCCCTGGGATAGCAGCTCTCTCACATTCACTTTGATTTCTATCCTGGCTTCATTCTCCTTGAAAGTCTGAAAACAATTCTCTTGTGCAGCAAAGAAAAAGGGACCAATCTAGAGACAGAGATAAATCACCCCACCTTTGCTAGGCAACAAGGCTACCTTTCTATCCTAATGATGGAGTTTCTGCTCCAGGTCAGGTAGAGGAAATAGTGAGTGTGGTGCCTGCAATCTCCATATAGCTGCAAACAGGCAGTTTTCATTGAAGCCTGTTCTCCAGCTCCACTGGGAAAAGTCTGATGTGTGATAGAGAGGAAAGACGTCAGCAGAAGGGGCTGGGCCTTGCTAGCTAACTCACAGAAAGTGCATCCAGCTCCCTAGCAATATTTCTGAGGGCTAGCTTGCTAATTTGCTCGAAGAGGTTGAATTTTCCTGTCTCATGGCAAAGACAGTGATTGCCAAAATGTGCTGGCTGGAGAAACCCTGTTAGGATAACACTGCATGGTAGCATTACAGTTGGAGTAAAGCCTGTGTGTAACCCAGGCAGAACTTTCTCATCCTTCAGAAGCTGGGCAATAAACACATGCAATAATGAAGCACTGTCCCAGTTCCACCACCTTCCCCTCGAAGCACAGGGTCTGAACCTTTTGGAGCTGCTTTCTGTTTCATCAATGCAAAGCAGTGCTTCTATTTAAAAAGACAGCGGAAAATCCTATCAGACAAGATGCACTGGTGCATATGCTGCTTCCTCTGGAGAGGATGAGAGAGCAAACAACATATGCTCAGTATTACTCACACTGCTTACTACACCGGTATGAGGATGACACCGGAAGAACCTACATGAATAGACCTGAAGGGCTAAAAGTCCATCACAGCTTTCTGTTGAGATGATGGAGTGATTAACTTTCTCTGACTCATCTATTTTTGCCTTGTTTCTCAAGTGCCCACCTTGGGGAAGCGGGGAATAAATGTCATCTTTTGCTGTTTTTCCTCTGACACATAGAGCCATTTTCCAGGTACTTCACAAGTTGTACATAGTGGCCAGAAGATGATTATAATTCTGGGTCATTATATACCTGGGCCAGAGTGGAACGAGTATGCCAAAAGCAAAATATTCCTTATAAGACTCTGGAAAAAATACTCAGCTCTACTGGGAGTTTCTTTGTCTTTCTATTTTGGAGTACGGTTTGTGCCTGTAGATCTGGGAAAAAGAAAGGACTATGTACAGAGAAATTCAGGGGGTTTATCTTTATGCAGCTCAGGTTGTGCCATTGACTTTTCTTGCCATTTTTTTGATGCTTCACATCTCACTGGTGATGACTCTCAGCCTTTGTTCCATTATAGATGACATGTTCACCTCCCTGGCACAAAGCTTCCCTCACGCATCCAATTCTCACTTTAATTGCTAAAGATTCCTCTTCAACACTATAGCATCCTTATGGGTGCAGTGCACATCCTGTCATCTTGCCTTCTCTTCACTCTACCAGGCTTGTCAAACATGCAACTTGTCCCATGCTGACCTCCCATCAGGAAGAGAATCACAATAGACTCCTTAAGCAGAGACAGTCCCTCAACATTCTGATGACCACATGGAAACGCCTTTCAGCCAGACACTGAGCTTTGTCTTCTCTCTATGCAAGAACATCAAAGTGGCCACACCAAGCTGGACCACTGGCACATCTCTCGCTGTGCTCTGTACTGGGAAGAACATCACAGAGAGGGGATGATATGATTCTACGAGAAATCTGACTAAACGCTCCTTTGCTTCTTGCTCTGTGTGGCTCAAGAGCTTCCCAAGCCTTGAGCAGCATCCTTGTGCTTACCTCTGCTGATCTGCGTTTTCTCTGCCAAAGGACTGTTGAAACCATTTGCTGACTTAGCTTACAACTTAGCAACAACAGTCAGCCCATAGTTGAACAATTAATATTGTAATCACAGGGCCTCGAGGTCTTATCTTGAATTTGAGGAATGCATCATATTGTTATGGACTTCTACCACCACTTGAGAAGTAGAAAAGAGTCTGATGGATGACAAAAGCAATGGACACACTTTTTGGATGCCTCTGGTTTCCTCCACAGGATGGGTTCTTCCTCAAGGTGCTAGTGAAGTCTAACACAGCTAGATCAGAGGTCTCTTAGATTTGGAAATCATATGAAAAGGAAGAAGTTGCTGTTATCACACTGACAGAGATTTGGAGTGGAGAAAGCATTCAGTCCATCCATGAGAACCAATCTTGGTGTGTTTTCTACAAGCTGTGCAGTCAATTTTGTAATGGGCTGCTTACAACAGGCTGTGGAAGGAAGCTCTTTGCAAGACGATTTAATAGTACACCTCCAATATGTTTTCTAGCTGCTTATATATGAAGATTAAGTTTTCCTTTCCAGAAATTGTATTTGCAGTGAAATGTAAGGTGTACAAAATCATCATCAGATAGCATATTTTAATAGTAATAGCCAGGCAGCAGTCTTTTGCTTGGAAAATGAAACAGCTCTTGCTAAGCATGGAATATTAGCAGTATGTGAGCTGCTACAAGTGACAGGCCAAAGACTGTGGAATTTTGTGTGTGCACTGATGCATGCAACTGGTACAGATACATAATTTAACTGTAGCTTTGGCACATACCATCACGCCATGATGTGTGCTTATTTTTAACACATGCAGTTCTAAAATAACCTGGACCATGAATATATTTGAACCATAAATATATTTCAAAGTCAGCTTTACACTTGTTTATTTTAACACCCCATGATAAAATTGCTTCTTTAAAGCAGTAGTAGGCTAAAATGGGACCAGGCTGATGACCTTTCTCACTAGCCATTCACACTGATATTGTCCAGAGTCACATAGCTTTTTTTATCTGTCACATCTCCCATTGAAAAGAGACTTGCCAAGGCAGAAAGATGAAAGATTGTTTTTGCAAGCTAAATTTTATGGGCAGGTTCAGGCCTGACAACATATTTTACAGTGTCTCTGTTCACGTATTTCCTCCAGATTCTCATACAAGTCATGCATAAGAATGACAAAAGCATAGAAATAGTTTTCAGCTCCTAATACTTTAGACATCAGTATTCTGTGATGGCAAAATACAAGGCACTGGATAACCTTTGGTGCTTACAGATATTTTGTTCCTCCTATGAGCTTTACCACTGTCCATTGGATGAAAGAGACTCTGAATGAAGAACTAGGAGTACAGATCACACAGAGAATTACAAGAGATTTTGTATTGCCTGGATGTAGTTCATGCCTTACCAGAAAAAAAAGCCCTTTCATGCAGTTCCCAACCACTTGAATAAGCAGGTCAGGGATTTGCAACCTCTTTTTTTTCTAGCATTAGAAGACATAAATTAAAGATCTGGAATCCCTCAGTCTCACAAGGAGAAGCTGACATACATGTGAAGGAAAGATGGTTGGAGACTACTTTCCCTGGCTCAGCCCACTTCGTCTGATTCTTACTGAGGCATTTCACCAGGCACTAGTGTGAGTTAACAGACGGAAATGGGAACGAGGGATTTTGCAGGGAAATCCTTCTAACACTCAGATTCAGCCTGAAGGTGTAAGCTCATGTTTTCACTTGCATTGACTTGTTATGAGACTCTGAGATTCTTTACTACGGAAATGGGACGGTTTGAACAGGATGATACTCTAAAATAGCTTGCTAAATCATAGAAAGGTGTTTACACCACCCAACTTTGTGCACTGCAATAGCCAGTTGATGACAGAAGACCACATATGGCTGTCATGCATTTCTAACAAATACATGAAGGTAAAGGGCTTGTACTTACAATGACTACGTCTACCTCCTTATGTTTTTGTATGCTGTTGCCTCAGGTTGTAAACACTTGAAGAAGGGGATTTTGTCTTCCTCCATGTGGTGAAGTATTCTTCCATCAGATGATGAAGTATTACAGACCACTGAAATAATCTTCTTCAGTGCTATTAAGACAAAGCAGTTGTCTCTGCATATTCATATACCAAAATAGAAGAAAAGAAAGAAGGAAGATTTATGAGAGGAATGTGGGCTTGCCCCCTCGATCACTGTCACTGAAACAGGCCTGTAGATATAGATCAAGCAAATGAAGTAATTAAGAGAGAACAAAATCATTTTCTAAAAGGGATTTATACAATGACCTACAATACAGTGATCAACCTCATGAAAATGAGCTTCAAGGTGTGGTGCTTCAGCTGGTGTTAATGGATATAAGATGGATAATAATAGATAATAGATATACTAAAAAAATGGATAAAGGATGGATATAAGGAAGAAGTTCTTCACTGTTAGGGTGCTGAGGCACTGGAATAGGTTGCCCAGGGAGGTTGTGAATGCTCCATCGCTGACAGTGTTCAAGTCCAGGTTGGATGAAGCCTTGGGTGATATGGTTTAGTGTGAGGTGTCCCTGCCCCTGGCAGGGGGGTTGGAACTTGATGATTTTAAGGTCCTTTCCAACCCTAACTATTCTGTAATTCTATGATATAGAGCTCCTGAAACCTCTGGACACACAGGAATACTTTCAGCTGCATGTGTAGCCTTTTGCCATCCTCCTCAGGATGATGATGATAAGGGTTTAGCATGCAAAATGGTACAGCTAGTTACATGCATAGTAAATGATTCTTTGATAGGACATTACACTGTCCTGAGACCAAGATCTGTGGGATTAAGGAGATCTACGGATAAAAACTGGCTGTGTACCAAACAAAGGAGGCTGCCATGTACCCCCTATCACCAGCAACCACCAAAAATCTGGCTGTGGTACAGCTCTTGCATCCCTTGAGGCAATATTGGATGAATACTCTGTGGTATGAAGTGGAAAGCTCAACGCTAGGAAGCAGGGAGAAGGAGCCAAAACCCAAAAGTGCTTAGGAAGGGTAAGAAGAAAAACACTGGGCAGGAATGGGAAGGGTCTGTGACATTTGAATTGGGCACTGGTGTGGCTGCTATAGAACAAATTTGCACCCTGCTCTGCTGGGCAGAGGACCAGCTCGCTGGGCACATTAGAAGCTCACGAAAGAGCCACGTGAATGAATAAAGGGCTGGAAGGCATGAACTGGAGTGTGACTCAAGGTCAGTCTGTTCATTGATGAAAAGGATAAAGGATGACTCGGTCAAAATCCTGAAGTACCCAGCTGGGAAATAAATCTCTGATAATAGAGGTTCTTTTCTGTTGAGCAAACAGCACATTACCAGGAGCTAATGGCCAGAAGCTGATGCCAGACAAACTCAGCGGAGAAACATGTTGCAGGTTTCCAGCACTGGGCATAGTTTCAGTGGGAACAATTTCCAAGGGACTGCAGAGGGTTCTCTATCATGGGTAGTTTTGAAATTAAGACTACTG